GAGGATCATTCACTGACACTAATGAATAAGAACGTTCAGAACCATCTAGACAGTGGATCCAGGAAACAGATGTTTTCCAGTACCTTTCCCAGCATATGAATCAGTACTCACTTCATGTAACTGAGATTATGGCCTGCATCACAACAACCATGATTGCCTTAAATCAAGCATCATAAAAGTATGTCAACACAGAACATCTTTGGCTGTCGCCATCTGAGCAGTAGGTCTTAGGGATAAGCCAGAATCAACATGGATTAGCTAGCCTGGGGAAACAACCAAGGAGAAGGGGTCCTACTACATGAATGAGAGCCTGGGAAAAACAAGTCTGAAAGTGTACATGGTATAAAAAAAGTGGAAATAAGTCTGAGACAAAACCTTTATTTCTGACAGATCACTGAAAACAAGAGGCATCAAAAAGACTTGTATAGCAGCATGTTCCAGACATAGTTTGCATTGGACTATGCTTGCATAAAGAGAAACATGGGAGCGGAAATACTTACCCAAAGGTAAGCAAGGTAGCAAACAAAAGAACTCCTGTTAGTTTATTGAAAAAAAAAAAAAAAAAAAAAAAAAAAAAAGACCATAAAAGAATGAGGGACTGTAGTGAACAAGATCAAAGATCCCACTAGCCCAGCATCCTACCTCTGATAGTAGCCAAAGCTCTTTTAAAGAACACAACAGACAAATGCATAAATCATCAAGAGGCTTCTACACTGTAACTAATACTGACAAAATGGATGACAGAAGGTTATACCAGCCTACGGGTATTAGCCTGAGGAAACAATGTTTTACTGTTTTCTAATTATGTTGTCATTTTTTCTCTAACAAACTAACTGATTTTTAATTAAGATATCTGGAACTTGGTATTGGAGGCCTGTGCATCACGGAAGAACAGTTCCCTCAAGCCGCCTCTTGTTCTTGAGAAAACACAGAGCTAGGAATAAGAGGTGGTCTAGTTCCTGCATTAAGCAAGGGAACTGCAGACCCAAAGAAGTGAAATAGCATGAAAACGGGGATTGTTGCAGCAGAAGAATACACTTGAAATTATTAAATCTCAAAGAGCAATCCCCAATACACTATGAGCTAAAGTTCTATGCCAAAATTAATGTTGATTGACATCCAAGGTCTATATTCTATACATATAATAGAATTTGATAGCATGGGTGGATGTGAAAATGGAAAATTACAAAAAACAGTTTAAAGATTGTAAAAAAACCCTCTAAAGTTACACAACACACTAGAAGACAAGAAATAGTCACATGAACATGCACGCAGCTCATCAATTACATACAGAGAATCAAAACGGTGGCACAAGGAAGAAGATCTGGACCTGTGTGAATCAGTTGTAATTACTAATAAATATATAAATATTTATTATAGAAATACTATAAATTTACACTTAAATTAAAGTGACTGAATATTCCGTTCGTATTTTACAGATATATCTAGAACAAAGTCATAGAGGAAATATGAAATTTAAAAAGTAGCTCTACCCTTACAAATGGCTAAAATGTTCCCTAAATACTACAGAAGAAATTCTATCCCAGTTCATGTTCTTGAAGTTGCCACAGACTCATGCATAAACTGTTTTTTCTATGCAGCAATGACAGGCAACTCTTCACGGCTGCTGAAAACTGCTGGGATTTTACACTGTTGTTCAGCACAGCAGTACAGAGGATTTACTCAAGTTCATTTAAGGCTCTGTTGCTTATAGCCCAGAGGAATATTGGAAAACACTGTCAATTGAATATTTTGGAGCTTTCTCATCTTCAGAATTTGTCATTTATAAGATGTCATCATCTTTAGTATGTTATTCTGGAAACTTACTTAGAGGTAATGAGCAGGAAATTTGGCATTACTTTCAACATCATTCTCTAGAATTATTTCTAAATCATAGTACAAAAATATTCTCCCACTCTATGATTTATGCAGCTTGTGCTCTTGTACACTCCCTGATGACTCAAAATTTCAACAGGCCCTCATAACATTATTTTCAGGTTTTAGTGTGCAGCTGGAGCTGGTGGGCTACACATTCCAGGACAGTCTGCGGTACCATATTAAGTCAAGCCATGTACAAAATCAGCATATACAAATTAAGTTTTAAAATATCTATGCCAAGTCTTAGACTTCGGGACTAAAGTACATTTAGTTTGCAATAGCTGAAGATGAGCTGTCATTCCTCTTTTGGCTTGTTCCTGTAACAACTACTTTGATTTTAATCACAAGTAACTTTTCCTTATTTTCAAAGCCTTTCACCCTCTTATTGTCAGTCTCTGTTTTTCGTTGGCCTGTAACCCGAAGCAAAGAACTTTGTACTTCTCTTACAATGTTTATATAGAACCTCATACAACAGCATTTTGCTGTTTGTTAAGAATTTCTGGCCGTTCTGGGACTTGTTTAGCTTGAACTTTCCTGGGCGACAATGTCTAAACACGCTCTTAAGTAGCAGAATAGATGTTTCAACTTTCAGAGCTCTTAACGCCACAGAAATATGTTACAACTTGTGAGTCAGATGTCCTGCTGGAGTACATGACTTTGCCAAGACAAAACCCCTGCAGGTGACCAGGGAACTGCCCAAAGAGCACAACAAGGGCCGTGATTCGTAATTAAGCACTTGAGATCTTTGACATTATACATTATCCCCACGGACTAGAGCGGGAGCGAGGGGGGAGGGAGGAGTTTAACTGTTGGTTTTAAGGTCCTTTTCCTTTTTTTTAAAGACCTTCCCTGCTGCTTTCGCGAGTTTTTCCCCCCGGCAGCCCGAGGGCAGCAGCCTCCCCAGAGGTGCCAGGCCTGGGCTGCTCCCCCGCTCCTGCTTCTCACTTGCCCAAAGTATTCACAGAAATATTCGTTTCCGGGGGGCTGGGGGGGATTTCGTTTGTTTGGGGCTTGGGTGTGGCGGTTTTGTTGGGGTTGTTTGGTTTGGTTTGTTACGAGGTTTCAGCCTCCTCACGTCCTGCTCGGCATGGGGAGCCCTGGGGCCCTGCCCCCCGGCGGGCTCGGGGCAGAACAGTGTCCCCAGGGCGGGACAGAGCGTTCCCAGGACCGGACACGGCGTCCCCGAGGCCTCCCGGGGCCTCCCAGGGCCTCCCGGGCCGGGGCGGGCCCGGGCGGGCGGGCGGTGTCCATGGAAACG